CTAAGCTGTAAATAGGTCTATTGGACAGTCCATCTGATGGAGAAACAGTGAGAGTGAAAGGATAGATGACCACGGTAATATCAGTGACAATGACCAAGGATTGCTAACCTCTATATTCAGTGGTTTAAATTTAAGAAAAATGTTGAATATGTTCTAGAATAAAATTAAATTAGTTTGAAGCCAATTTCTTATGTAATAAAACACTTATTTACCTTAGATTGTTTCAAATACTACGTGATATTTCTGCTTTTCTTAATCTTAGTGTCAATAACAAATGACTTTTAATAACACTGAATCGTACCTTGTGTTTGAGTGTCACCCGGGACAAAGCTGTAGTAAATGGATGTAGACGACGGTGCATCTTCTTCCATCAGAGAGAAACAGTAAGAGTGAGAGGATGAATAACCACAGTAATATCAATAACAATAATCCGTGTTTGCTTTTTAATATATTCATAGATTTTCATTTGAATTTAGCAAAATTTCACATTCACAGTTAGATAAGAATGCAGCTTTTTGGTTAGTTAGAAATAAAATAACTAACCAACAAATATATGTTTATATATATTTCATCAGATTCATCAATCATTAATCTATGTTATAAAAGCTAAATCCTAAAGTTAAATTAGCAAATAGTTATATATGTTGAATATATCTTGAGTGACTGCTCTATCCGCCAGTAGCTGGTGAATTATATATACATGTTTATCATAGATAGAGCAGTCGCTCTACTAGTAGCCATCATGGAAGGGCAAGCCCCTGCATGGTATGTACCACTGGCAGATGGAACAAGTGGTTGACATCCAAAAATCCAACGAGTGGCTGTACAAAGCTGGACTGAAAGACAGAGGCACTAATCATAGCAGCACGGGAAAAAGTTCTGATCACAGGATCCATAGAGGCTGGGGTCTACCACGCCAGACGAGACCCCAGGTGCAGGCTGTGTAAAGTTTGTTTCCAGATACAGACAAACTGTTGATGGCTAACCAACATGACATAGTAGTGGTAGACATAGGTTAACATTTCTAGAGTACATGCCAAACAAGCCTGTCAAGTATGGCCTTGAGATTTTCTGGGTTTGGGATTCACACATCCCCAATGAAATATCTAGAATGTTTTCACAGGGACACAAATAGGGAAAGAAGTTCAGAAGAATTTGAGGGAAATCACTGTCCAGCATTTGTGCGCTGATAAAAGCCACAACTCAGCCACATGAAAACAGCAGACAGGACATGTCTAAAGACAACAAGATTTCAGTACCTAACAAAGATAATTTGTTAAAGTCAGCAGTCCATGTGGGAAATACAATGTATATATGTGCAGTGATTAAAGCCAGAAACAGGTAAACTGTCAAAGCTCCAAACAGTGAGGGGACAAAGCAAGAAAAGATAACACAGACAGGAATTGTGTAGACAGTTACACACACATGCAGGTACTCGCTCTCTCTCTCTCTCTTTCTCGCACAAACACACAGACACACACACAAATGGATGTTGACATCATTCTATTGCTGTTGTGTCACTTTGTGACATAAATTTGACTGTGTACCACACTATGTACCACAGGTGTTCAGGCTGGCAGTAGTTAACCGTTACTTAAAAAGCCATCTCTAGACCCAGTGGTCATAATTAATTATTGCCCAATCTCTAACCTTCCTTTTATTCTCTGAATACCATTATTTTGGCCTCCAGTAACACTGTGAGGAATCTTGGAGTCATTTTTCACCAGGATATTCTTCAATGCACATATTAAACTAACACTCTACTTTTTAGATCAGGCTTAAAACTTTCCTTTTTGCTAAAACATATATTTAGGGCTGGATCAGGTGACCCTGGATCCTCCCTTAGTTATGCTGCAAAAGATGTAGACTGCACTGAGACCTCTCTGCATTGAATCCTACTTGTTATTATTC